TCCTCCTCCTCCTCCTCCTCCTCCTCCTCCCGCTTTGCTGCTGGGGCTCAGGGACTGCACCACCGACGCGCCCGGCGGTGGCCTCATCGAATGTGGCCTCAGTTGGGCGCAGATCGCAGCTCGAGCGAAGAACCCACGGGGCCCGCCTCAGGGGCTCGGGAGCCAACGTTCGTCGATCGAGCAGTGGCGAAGCGTCCTGGCGTGCCTGTAGACCTACCAAATAATGTTCTGAGGACCGCTTGTGGTCCCCACGAAAAGGTTCTTAGAACACTTCTGGCCGGGACCGTCTTGTTCTGACGCATCGTGTTTACGTTCTAAGAACATTGTTTTTCTTCTTGGAGCATTCGGGGGTTCTAAGAACATGTCGTGGTGGGCCTATAGGAATGCCGGGACGGTCGGTCCCTGCTCAGAGGGCGCAGCTAGCAGCTCGAGCGACGAACCACGGGGCACGCCCTGGGGGCACGGGAGGCAACGTTCGTCGAACACCGAAACAGCGCTACAAAACTCTTGAGCGACTGGGTCGCCGATCCGCTCCCGACCAGGAGAAGACACGACGGCATAACCACAAAACTCCTGGCGCGCCGCACGGATTTCTTGGATCCTCGCTGGGAGCCCCCGGGGGCACCTCCGCCGCCGCCCGTGGCGCGCTCCGCGCGCCAGGCCGAGAAGTCCGCGCGGCGCGCCAAAAGTTTGTGCTCATGCCGTTTTGCCCTCCTCTGGTTCAGGAGGGAAAGAAACACACAGACACAATTAATCCTCGATTCCCCCGAAGATATGGGAAAATATGGGAAGTGGGCGGGAAGACAAAAATCCAGAACATATAGGAAAATATGGTGAATAGTTTCATTTGTGTGTATTTCTTTGTGTCCTGGGGCCCCTTCACTGGTTAGGGGCGGATGGGCGACCCAATCGCCCAATCATCGCCGACAGGTGCCCCAGAGCCCCTTCTCGCCCGGGGGCGTGCGCTGTCGCTGTCGAGGGGGCTGCGGGCGGGAGACTGGCGCGGGACGGAAGGAGCCGCGACGCTGACGCCGAGGTGGCGTTCCGTCACGGAGCATGGGGAAGAGGGGGAGCGTAGATCGGCGGCGAGAGAGGGGGGATCAGTGAGAAGGAGAAGGCCTTCTCAGAAGGCGCGAGGGGTTCTGCGGCGGGACCTCTCAGAAGCCCTCGCACCTTCTGAGAGGCGCTTCTTGTCATCCGGGAAGGATTGGGGAACTTCTCAGAAGGTTGGGGGTTTTCCGAGCCTTCTGAGAAGGCCCGCCCCTTCTCACTTCCCCCCTCGCTCGCCGCCGAGTAGAGAAGACGATGAGAGAGAGAGGGAGTGTGCCGAGGAGGAGGAGGAGGAGGAGGAGGAGGAGGAGGAGGAGGAGGAGGAGGAGGAGGAGGAGGAGGATGGGCGAGTGTAGCAGGGCCTTCCTGAGGATCGCACCCTTCACCCCCCGCACCCAGGAGCCCCCGGCTCGCAGTGCCAAAATGGCCTGTCAGAGCAGCCAGGAGCTGTCGTGCGTGCCCTGCTGGAGGTAGATCCCTGGAGAGCTGGAGCGCCGTCCAGTTGCGGCTTGCTTCCAGCCCCCGCGCGCGCCCTCCTGCCATGCGCCCGCGCAGGATTCACGAGCACGCCGAACCTTCGGCAGCTCCTGGCCGAGGTGTCGAAGGCGTTCGACGACCTAGGCCGTGCCCTTGCCTTGCTCCCTGGTCTGCATGCACGGTGTTCTCGCGAGGCCTGCTCGAACTTCTCCCGCCTCCACCTTCCCGAGTGCGTTTGCGGTTCAGCCGGCTCGGCTGCGTCGCAGCCAGGTGCGCTCGCTCGGCTCGGTTGGTCAGTTCTTGTGTCGTTGCTGCGTCGTTGCGGCCTGTTGGTTTCGGCCGGCTACGTTTTCGATGCCTGGTCGGTCGGTTTTCGGTTGTGTTGTCGCCGTGCACCGCCTTGCTTGCCCCCTTCATGCTGGGAATGCCGTTTCTGGGGCGGCTCGGATTTCTGTTGGTTTTCTCTTAAACAGGGCTAGGATCGGGATAAATCGCTCCAGAGCGTTCTGGAGCGCTCTCAGAGCGTTCCGGAACGCTCTGGAGCGGCCGCGGCGCCCAATGCATCCTCCAAACCCGCCGATTCTCAGAGATTTCGAGTTATCCCGATCCGATTTTGTCCCGATCTTCGCGTCGTTTTCTTCTCCTCCCCGCCCGTCCTCGAGAGTGTCCACCCCCTGCACGGCGCTCCTCCTCCCCCTTCTCAGCCCCGTCACGCCCGCTCCGCCGGCGCCCCCGGCGCTCCGGCTTCGGGAGGCCACGGATCTGCCACGCGCAGAGGGGGACAGTCAGGAGGGGAAAAAACACTCAGATTCAATTAATCTCGGGCCGGGCGAAAGGGGGGGATTGGGAAAGGGGGGGTTACGAAATTTGCTGCATGCAGCTGGTTTCGGCCTCACCGAGGGGCCCCTTCCTCGATACATAGCCGCCTCCGGCGCCCGGAGGCGCCGGGAAAATCAGCTACGTGAGCTGATTCTCAAACCCCCCCTTTGCTATCCCCCCCTTTCGCCCGACCCGATAATCGGCGACTCCCCGGAAAATACGGGAAAGTATGGGAAGTGGGGGGGAAGAAGACAGAAACCCAGAAAACATGGGAGGATATGGGGATTATTTTTATTTGTGTGTATTTACTTGTGTGTCCCAGGGCCCATTCAGACAGGGGGAGGGGGCAGGCTTCTCAGAAGCACCCATGCTTCTTAGAAGGCGCGGGCCTTATCTACAGATGTGAGGCCGGCGCCTTTTAAAAAGCAGCCTGATTCTAAGAAGCCCTCCCCCTCCCTCCACCCCCGTGTGCGCGCCGCCAAGCCACGCGCAGAGGGGGACAGGGGGAGGGGGAAGGCTTCTTAGAAGCACCCCTGCTTCTTAGAAGGCGCGGGCCTTGTCTGTTGACGTAGGGCCGGCGACTTGTAAGAAGTAGCCTTCTAAGAAACCGCCCCCCCTCCCGCCTACCCCCTTGTGCGCGCCGCCGAGAGGAGGCGTTGGCGACGCTCGAACGGCTCCAGAAGGCTGCCGTTGAGGCTCGGAGGCCTGTTGCTCCTGCTCAGCCTGGTGGGGGCGCCCCCGCTGCAGCAGGAACAGGTGACGCAGCAGGATCTGCAGGAGCTGGAGCCAGTGAGAGCACCCTTGGATGAGTCCGGTTTCCTCGAGGTCGATTTCCAGGACTCCCTCAAGAGCTCCACACAGACATCGGTCGTCTCGAAAAAATCAGAATGGAGGTTTTTCATAGTGTTCGGCCTCCGGGGGCCCCTGCCGGGCCTCGGGACAGTCAAAAAGCGAATCGGGATGAAAAACTGGTCCAGGGGAAGTTGTCGAGAGGTCGGGGGCCCGTGTCTCGAAAAAATCGAGACCCCAGATGTCTCGAGGGCATGGGCGCGGATGGGGGCACTGCCACGTCGGTGGCCAAGCCAACCGCAGAGCGCATGGCCAAGAACGCCCAGAGGGGACAGCCACGATCATTGCCCTTCGAGTTCGATTGCAAGTTCGACGTGGCCGACTCCTTCCGAGTCGTTTCGTTCAAGTCCTGCTGGTGCTTGCGCTGACAGGCTGGGCAGTGTATTTCCGGAGGTGCCGTTCGATTTCCAGGTCAGAGTCGAGGGCAGGATCGTCGTGTCGGGGATGACTCACCGTGTCCTGGCGGCGGTGTTGCTGACACGCTGGGTCGAACGATTTCCAGAGCGGACGACCAGTTGCTAGGCGTGGTTCCAGCGCGTTCGCTCGGCCGCGCGCTGTGCTGGGGAGGCCGGGCAGAAGTACCGGCCCGCCTCGCGGAGGCGGGCGCGCACGGGCCACCTGGTCTCCGCTCTTGAGGGGCTTGGGCAGACGGCGCCGACAAGGGCTGGACATGAACGGTGTTTTTCGTTTTCGTGTTGTTTTCGTGTTCCCTCGTTTTGTCTCCACTCCGCCTTCATACCGCAAAACGAAATCGAAACGAAAGCGGTCCACGAAGTCGCCAAAACACCGTTTGCGCCCAGCCCTGGTGCCGACCCACCTCGTGGAGGGGGGTATGCACGGGTCACTCAGCCTTTGCTCGAATCCGCATGATGATGTTGGAGTGCCAGACCACACTGCGGGGAACATATCTCGTCAGGGTGTTTGACCTGTTCGTCGACAGGGTGATGTCGCGCCTGAGGGGGCAACGGGGGTGCTTTAAGAATGGAGGGCGGGGATTGGTCCGGGACCTTGTAGTGTTGGCCAGGAGCACGGATTCGTGGCGCCTGGCGGAGAGTGTCTTCGAGTGGTCGGTTAATGACAGAGGAGGGGCCTTTGAGAAACCGCAGGATCTCTGTTGTTACGAAGCGCGAATCACGAAACCCGTATGATGACGAGTTAGATGGTCTTGTCGGTCAAGGGTTGGTCCGAGAGACAGGGCATGCAAGTTTCCTTGGGACTCGCTCGCAGCACGGGACAGCCGACCCGAGCTCCTCTGGAACAGCTTCGGCGGTGCAGTCTGCCGTCGCGCCTTCTCTGATCGGGTGTAGTTTCGTCGAGGCATCGTCGAGTTGGGCGGCCGCTCGGGTCGTCAACGCGGGGTTCCCAGGACGTTTGGTTTCTGCCGCGGGCCTCTCGTCTGCGAGTAGGACGTGGCCGGCCCCGATATTCAGATTTGAAAACGTGCCAAGGCAGTTCTTTCTCGGCCCGGATCGCCCGCGGGTTCTGCATGCAGATTGAAATTACTTACGCTTCGCGTATCCCCACCAGCTCTTGCGAAGCATGCCGATAGTCGTGTTTTTCAGGCGTGTGTCCGCTTGGCCCCGCATATCTCCCCTGTTACTCCTTCCTCCCGCCTCCTTGTACATCCTCCTTGTGGGGGGAGCGGGAGAAGGACGAGGCGGAGGAGGAGGGAGAGAAAGCGCTCCTCGTGGTTTGAGTCGTTTGGGGTTTCTCGTCCTGGTGTGAGTCGTTCGGGCCCTTCTTCCTGGTGTGAGTCGTTCGGGCTCTTCGTGGTGTGAGTCGTTCGGGCTCTTCGTCCTGGTGTGAGTCGTTCGGGCTTCTCGTGGTGTGAGTTGTTCGGGCCCCTCGTCCTGGTGTGAGTCGTTCGGGCCCCTCCTCCTGGTGTGACTCGTTCGGGCTCCTCGTGGTGTGAGTCGTTCGGGGCCCGCGTCGTGGTGTGAGTCGTTCGGGCTCCTCGTGGTGTGAGTCGTTCGGGCGCCTCGTCCTGGTGTGAGTCGTTCGGGCTCGTTCGGGCTCCTCGTGGTGTGAGTCGTTCGGGCCCTCGTCCTCGTCTGGTGTGAGTCGTTCGGGCCCCTCCTTCTGGTGTGAGTCGTTCGGGCTCTCGTGGTGTGAGTCGTTCGGGCCCCTCGTCCTGGTGTGAGTCGTTCGGGCTCCTCGTGGCGTGAGGCGTTCGGGCACCCCGTCCCCTTTTGGGGCGTCTTGGGGGCCTCTTGGCGGCCCCAGGGGCTTCTAGGAGCGTCTTGGGTGCCTTGGGGGAGCCCCCTCGGGCCTCTTGGGAGCCTCTTGGAGGCAGTTTGGGGCGTCTTGGGGGCCTCTTGGCGGCCCCAGGGGCTTCCAGGAGCGTCTTGGGTGCCTCGGGGGAGCCTCTTGGGGGCCTCTTGGGGCCTCCTGGGGGCCTCTTGGGGCCATCTTGGGGCCTCTTGGTGCCTCCTGGGCGCTTCTTGGGGCCATCTTGGAGGGAATCGATCACAGAAGAGGGGAGCTTTAATGAGCGCTGGCCCATCAGAAGGGCAAAATGAGGCCAAAACCTTAGTAAAATCAATGATTTTGCCTTGAAAGAAGAGGGGAGCTTTAAGGAGCGCTGCCCCCTCGGAAGGCCAAAATGGGGTCAACACCGTAGTAACATCAATGATTTTGACTTCAAAGACGAGGAGAGGGTTTGTTCTGCCTCCCCCCGTCGGGGCCAGAATCCTCGTGAGGGGTGTCGTTCTTTAGCCCTCCCAGGAGTCGAAAAGGACTCCCCTGACCACCCGTGAGGCGCCCTCTCCAGGCCCAGGGGGAGGGGGTAGGGGGAGGGGTAAACCCCTCCCCGAAGGGGAAGAAGGGGGGTTGAGAACAGAGAGAGCTCCCTAAACCACTCACGCCCAAAGGGCTGGTGGGACTCGTAGTAGTCGTCACAGTAGTTGCATGTTCCTCCTTCCTCCCGCCTCCTTGTACATCCTCCTTGTGGGGGGAGCGGGAGAAGGACGAGGCGGAGGAGGAGGGAGAGAAAACGTTCCTCGTGATTTGAGTCGTTTGGGGTTTCTCGTCCTGGTGTGAGTCGTTCGGGCCCTTCTTCCTGGTGTGAGTCGTTCGGGCTCTTCGTGGTGTGAGTCGTTCGGGCTCTTCGTCCTGGTGTGAGTCGTTCGGGCTTCTCGTGGTGTGAGTTGTTCGGGCCCTCATCCTGGTGTGAGTCGTTCGGGCCCCTCCTCCTGGTGTGACTCGTTCGGGCTCCTCGTGGTGTGAGTCGTTCGGGGCCCGCGTCGTGGTGTGAGTCGTTCGGGCTCCTCGTGGTGTGAGTCGTTCGGGCGCCTCGTCCTGGTGTGAGTCGTTCGGGCCCCTCCTTGTGGTGTGAGTCGTTCGGGCTCTTCGTGGTGTGAGTCGTTCGGGCCCCTCGTCCTGGTGTGAGTCGTTCGGGCTCCTCGTGGGGCCTCTTGGGGGCCTCTTGGAGCCTCTTGGGGGCCTCTTGGGGGCCTCTTGGGGGCCTCTTGGGGGCC